GCATCTCATTAGGTCGATCGTATGGGCGAAATCTCTTCTCATTCAAGGCGTGATCCAACAATCACCATTGATTCCCGCCAAACGGATCGAATGGCTCAATTCAACCCCCACTCAAATTTCAAATAAATGGCCAAATGTCTCTCGCTCAAGATAATCGAATGGCCCAGATTGATGATCAAATGGACGCCCTAGATCACATGAAGACCAATCCAATGGCTAGGATTTTAGGAAATGTAAATAGACCAAAATACCCTTAATGAAACTATTGATCAAATGGTCACGATTTGTGGGATCAAGATCGAATGGTTAAGGTGCATTTTTGGATATAAAAAGACAAAAATCCCTTAACTAATTCAACGGGCTAGATCTCATAGTGGAGATCCGACGACCGTTAGGAAGAGAATTCAAGGAAACCCTACTAGTTTTCTCTCATTCGAGAGAGTTGAGAGCTGGAAATGAGAGGGAAAACGGGAGATTGCATAGGGGCGATCACAATTGGGAGAAGAGAGGGGCAGTGTGCAGCGGTGACCGTGAGTGTGAAAAAGGAAAGAGAGGGAGTTACGATGGCCAAGAGCGAAAAAGGGTGAGACTCGAAAGTTCCAAAGCATAATGATGTTAACGTGCCACGTGGGTGAGTGACCATGAGGAAATAGAGACCCGTGGCAGCAAGATTCATGATGCGGGTGAGTGTTGAGCGCAGTTGAAGGGAATCGAAGACCGTAACCAAAGCCTCCCTCCACCGCAATGAGATCTTGAACCCACACGCGATGAGCCGTGTGATGGAGGATGACTGAATGACTTCAACCATATGAGAGGAAGAAGACCGTAACTCGATGCCATTTCGAGTTACCACATGGATAACCACAAAAAAGGTAAATTTTTCCTCATTTTTCCTTTGTTATTTCTGATACGGGCATCATAGCCTTGCCTTTCACGCATGTATGCTGGTCCCTAATCTGAATTGCACAACCTAACTCGGGGGCCGAGAGGATTCCGTTGGGTTTCTAAATCTGACTTCCTCTAGTACATCGTTCAAAACCTAGGGATTCAAGGTATAAATTTCAATTAGTTTAGGAAGGATTTAGATTAAGATAAATGCATATTTATACACTTATATATAGACAGTTTTATAAACAATCAGAATTTCAATAGATAAATATGCATGCAATTTGAGTGCCAGGCACCTTGGTTCATTCACTAACTTGAGATGGGGTCTTTTCCTTTACAGGATGATCATATGAATTTAAGGCGATTATGGAGCTTAAATTGGACCCTAATCGCTCCAGGATCAATAAGTATAATTAGTAACCCTCAGAGCCTTCATATAGTCATTAAAAAAAAAAATCATTAAAATTTTATGAAATTAAGTGCATGCAAATAAGTAATGATGATATGGTCTGGAAATGAGATTTTTAGTGATTTTTACAATTTTCGTACTCATTTGCTTGCTGAATTGTTGTGAATGTTTGGTTGCATTTTTTTTTATAATTATGGATACGTTTGAAAGATTGAATATGTATGATGTAAGTTAGATGGATTAGTGATTTTTAAAATAGGTGGTAAAACAAGAAATAAGAAAAATTTGTAAAAGAAAAATAACACAAATAAAAAACAATATATTTAAATAAATTAAATTAAATTAACAAATATCTAATGAAATAAAAGAAACAAATAATAAGTAAAATAAAATTAATAACACTATAGTTCATAAAACATATAATAATAATAAGTAGTGATAAAACTAAAGAGAAGAAAAATAGAATTTAAGAAAGAAGTATTGTGAACAAAGAATGGTTAAGAAAAATAGCTGAATAATTTGAGGAATATGAGATAGTGAAATAGGTAAAGGAATAGAGGAATAAATAAGGGTATAACTAAAATTATAAGTAAATATAAATAAGGATATCTAAAAGAAATTCAAGATACAAATCTTTTAAAGTTAGACAAAATAAAAGAAAAAGAAAAATACAAAGATTAGAACAAGTAAAAGTTCTGGAATAATCCAGTCAAGATTGGTATGGTTGAAATTCGACAGGGGGAAGAGGGGTGAACATTATCCCTGGGTGGATGAAAGCCCTTTTAAACGTGGTTGGAATGCATGTTTTGTTCTGGGTCACCTGGCGATGGACTGTTGTGACCAAAATATGTTACATGATTTGTCGTGTGCCTGCCCATGTGATAGTGAAAATCTTGATCCCAAAATGATACTTGTTATTAAATGGATACACACGTTAAATCTCGAAATAAGACTTTAAAATTTAGCACTCAAATAATTATTTTGTTGTGACTAAGTTGTGGATCCTTGATACCCATTTGATGGGGTATAGAAGACTTAGTTATGACACGATATGATGGATTGAAATGTGTCGGTAACTAAGAAAGAGAATAATGGATCTCTAAAGAAATAAGAGGCAAAAAAAGGATTTAACAAAATGGGAATTTAAGAATAAATTTAGTAATAGGGTAGAAAGAAGGAAAAGGGAAAACTTAGGAGATTTAGATGAGGGAGAATGAAGGGGGAAAAACTTAGGAAATTTAGTTACTTCGTTCATTATGGTCTTCAAATAAAAAGGAAAAGGGAAAATGTTTACATTTATGAATGATTGTATGTTTGTATCTCACATGCCTAAAACACAATTTATTTTTTATACTTACTAAGTGTGTGGAAAGCTCTCTTAATTAAATTATAATCTTTTTTAAATCAATGGAATCCAGAGCTAAAATCGGATCAGTGAGAAACATGTAGTATGTGCGAGATGGAATTCCAGCATTCTATACTGAAGGGATAATGACATTTTTAATATTAACCCTATATTTTTAACCTTATGTTATTGTAATTCTTATTACAACATGATCAAGAGATGAATAATTAATCCTTTTTATGATACTTATGCGTTGTGATTGGCTAATTCTCAGAATTAGTTAGTAACTGATGACTGTAACCTTTAGTGGTGGAAATAGGGGCGTCATAGGTGGTATCAGAGCAACATGACCCTAGGGCCATTCTTTGTACATAAGATTAAAATTTTTTATAGGGTTTAGGACCAGATTAAGAAATGAACCTTAGAGGATTCTTTAGTATTCCTTTCGAAACATCTTCAAAAATAACGAAGTACTAGTATAATAT